CTTGTGGTCGGGTTCCCGGCTGGCTTGTCTCCCGCTTCCTTTCATGTCACATCCTTCGCTCCTCATGCTTTTAATTCTTGTCCTCACGTGGTCAACTCCCCGCTGATTGAGCAGCATGACCAGCATCATGTTCGCACTTGAAGAATAATTCCCCAAAAGGTTTACTGTTAGGGCTTCTCAATTCTTTCTTAAGATGTGTCCGCCCGCTCTGTACTGCTGTGTCCGTCTCTGCCTTGCAATCCTTTACATTTGTCTCCCAGCTCTGGGCTGCTGCGGCCGCCTCTGCCTTGCAATCCTTTGTCTCCCGTTTTTGAAAACACAAACTGTTTGGGGTCTACGGTGGTGTAATTTTTTTAATCTTTTTTGACGCCGCAAGCTTTGATCAAGAATTGATCAAACATGATGCAAAGCCGGCCTCCGGAAGCGGCTCAAAAAGTAGCTTGTGAGGCCAAGGCTAATAATGGCCGTTGATTATGCAAACGACTGGTGAGTGACAGAGGTGGTCCTCAGGTCAAAAAAAGTGAGTGATGCAGTTGGTGCAGAAGGTGCGGGTCGGGGGGGGGGGTGCGGCCCCGTAAAGCAAGCTAGCTTGGCCATGCTATCAAATACGGCATCGCCGACCCTGCCCAAAAACAAAAAGTGAAAGTGTAAGTAGGCAAAGTGGCTGTGTCAAGAAGCTTTGTGCGCAAGCGAAGTGCTTAGCGTCTTAGAGTAGTTGAATTAGTGAAAGTGTGTAAGGATTGTGCGCAGGAGATGGAAGGAGTCAAGAAGACAGGAAGGGTTGATGCGGTGGTCGGCCCGGATGCGGGGTGTATTGAATTCACACGGCAACCGGCAACCGCTATACGATAGCGCGTTGGAAGGAGATATATAAGAGCGTCCTAGTAGTGTCCTTGTTTCTAATAGCTTCTTGTTACTGAAGGCGCCTTCGACACCTACGGGCCTACGGGTGTTTAACTTCGGTTTTGAATTCCTTTTTGCAGCTGCCTCCGCCATGCTTTTCCCCCAAGGCCACAACAAATCAACATTTAGGATCATTTAGGGGTATCTACTGTAACGCCGGTTTTGGATCCCCTGCAAACCGCTTGTGAACCTGCCCAAACGTTGGTTTTGAACCGCCTTTAAACCGCTTGAAAACAGAACATGTGCCCGCTATCGGTGCCAAAAGTAAGTATAACAGTATAACATAGTATAACATATTATAACTGAATACGCTCCCCTTTATGCGCTCCCCCTTACGTTCTCCCCGGGGTCGGCGGCAATCAAAAGATTGAGTTTATTATCTTCGACTGTCTCACCAATCACGAAATCAATTTGCGACCGGCCGAGTGGGCATAGCAGGCCTTAATTGAGCATTTTAGACAGTTGGCTTAATGTTTTGGTCAAAAGTCAAAGGTTAAGGTGGCCTGACCCGAAGTGCCTTGTGCCGCCAAGCGCGCACGACGCGCACCCCATTTCCATATATATATATATATACTGTACATATGTAACCAAACCTGATTAGTTCTCAACCAACTTGCGCTGACATTTCTACTTGAGGCATTGATTGCGTGTCTCCATTGACCAGGGAGTTGTTTGCAATCATGTGGGATAGCCCTCCGCAGCCAAGGCAAACTTGTTAGAAAAACGTGTGGCGCAACACATTGGTGACATGCAAAGGAAGGGCGCGCTGCCGGCCAAGAAGGAGTGGGTAATAAGTTCAGTGCAGACACAAAACGGTTTGACTAGGGTCCATCATGTTGATGGGATGTTTCTGCTTCAGGAGTGGTGGCAGATCAGACGACCCTTGGATGTCATGGCGTTGTCTTGCCCTAGAAAGGGTAGGAGACTTGTAGATCTACATGCCACATGCCGAGGACATTCCTCATCCTCCAATTGCTCTGCCCAGTCCGAGAGGGTCATCCACAGCGAGAATCACGACTTTCGCTCTGCAGTGGGTCGCACCATGGTAGGCGCTGGTCCACAATCAACGCATGTGGGTGGGTGGGAGAAACGGGGAAAATGCTAAATTCCATTGTATTGCACACTGATGGCTTTTTGCTCTGGTCAGGCATCAAGCTAGCCAGGCGCTTCTCAGTGGGAGCAGTGGGGGTCGGAGCTACAGCTTTCACCCAGACTGCACCGATCGTACCACTACCACGCCGGCGCATGAGCTCCTTGGTTGCTGGAGGAGCTGGCGAGCCACAGCTTCTTGTTCCTAGTAGTACCCCTAGTAGCGTCCTTGCTCCTAGTAGCGATGCCAGGAGCTCCTAGTAGCGTCCTTGCTCCTAGGAGATTTTGTTCTCAAGTTTGAGGTGACGGGATGCTTCTGGTGACGGAGCGAACAGCATCCAAGTCAAGCCCGAGACTGAGCATTGGTTTAGATTGTATAGATTTCGGAAGGTGCCTGACCTGAGGCAAGCAGCAGCCCCCAAAAGCGTTCAGTCAATGTGCTTTGGGTGCATGACCTTTGGTACACAAGGAACTCGAGAAACCGAAACCACAAACTTTGAATGATGTTTCACATCATTTGGCAGAGGCCAGCTCAGCTTGCAGTCTATCATGGAACAGAACAGCCGGGCCACCCAGTTGGCCGAGTTGATTGAGCAACAACCACGAGCACGTTTCAAGGGAGGACAGCATTTGTGCGCTTCTTTGCAATTCGATCACTTGCTCACTGGCAATCGGCTGCTCGTTTTAGAAAGAATGACGTCTCAAGAGTCTCAAGAGTCATTCTGCGTCAAGAGGTCATGGTTCCGCTAGTGGCGATGGTGCGTCCAGCTCCTCCTCATCCAGTGCCACCCCCGAGCAGCCGGAGGAGGTTGTGCAGGCTCCGGAAGTGTACCTGACTTGGGAATTTGGGACCCGGCTGAGCAAGCTCTCTGTCAGCAAGTTCAAGAACAAACCTGATTGTCAGCGAGACTGGTGCCAACCAGGCCACTCACAGTATTCTGGTCCATGAGCCCTTGGACGACGCTCCAGGCCATGCTTCCCCAAGCCGTCGAAAACCGAAGAGCATCGAAGACCAACGGCCGCTGTTGAGAGTTTCACTGAGGGGAGCCGGAGGAAGGAGTGGACGACCCTGACACCAATGCGGAGACCATCCGCTCCTCGGACATGAAAGGAGCCACTGAAGCCGACTGAAGCCAGCTTCGAAGATCGTGCACAGTCAAGGATTGGACCTGGACCAGCTGGCCAATGACTCAAGGATCGAGGATGATGAGCTCCCGGCGGATGTCGGCCACATTGATCGAGGCACAGTTTAGGCCTTGTCGATGTAGATGGTTATAGATGATTGACATTTTGTGCCTTTGGATCGTGCATGTAATTCGAAGCAAGCGTAGTTGTCCATTGGCAACACACACACATTAATATACACACACAGTAATCATGTCAGGTGCAGATGCAACACTGGAAGAGGAGGTGGGAACGCTGCTGTGTCACCACAATCTGTGTGACTGCATTCGCATGGCAAGGAGGCTCCTGCACGACCAGTGCCTTCTCTGCCCAGTCTTGAAAGATCCCTTCGTTCAAGGGGACAAGACGAGGACTCGTCAGCGGAGGCATGCCGCAAAGTCCTGCAGCAGATAGGAAGATGACGGAAGATGCTTTGTATTCAATTCATCTACCCACACGCGCCCCTTTATATATTCAGAAGCGCGAGGTGCTTGGCAACACTATCAAGCTCCCCTGTCCAGCCCGAAGGTGCCTTTGTAATGTCGAAACAGGCGTGTGGATTGGATTAAATTCAACCTCTCGGTTCTTGATTAAGTATCTCCAACAGATGGCTGCTTAAGGATGTTTACAAGCATCTTCATTTGGCCAAACATTGTTTGGCTGATGATTCATGATAATTCATGATAATTCTAGTCTGAGTCTCGAAGCTTGTGGAAGACTTGCGCCGCGAGGTTTCTCAGTGTAGAGGAGCAGAGACAAAGGGATGTGGCGTTGCATCCTTTCAACCAAGGACCCAGATGTTGGCCTTGACATGAGCATTTGGTTTCTGATGTGCAGTAGTTGACCGCTACTTTCGCAGCTTGACAATCCCTGTGCTTGATTATGTTTCCGGGTGAATGCGCCTTGACAACAAGTCGTTTATGTCACTCAGTTTGTAGTCCGCTAGACTTGTAGCATGATAGCATGATGAGATTCATGCTTGGCTGCTGGGGATTGGGCCAAGAACCCTACCTCCAGGAGGCCTGTGTGGTGGCGTCCCAGTTTCAGCGTCGCGGCATGGCATCCAAATGGCTCATGCAGCAGCGCTGAGAGTGTGTCGCAAGGCCATCTAAACATGACTATGACCATCCCTGGCTTTCCTCTCCTCTACAACGTGTTTAAGAGTTAAGTACACAATAGAAACGGCTTCCAATACCTTTTCCGATCGACTTTGCTGTCTATATGGGGGGCAGCATATACTGTCCGAAAGTTTTTTGAGGAACCACAGGCTGTGTGACTCCAGCAGTTCCGAAGCTTACAGTGATAGATGTGATAGCCGTCAATTCCCACAGCTACCAATGAACCGTGAAGCCCGTTCTTCACACTTCATTCACATGAAACCGTGAATGCACTGCACTTGCAGTAGCGCACACAAGTTGTGTAAATTTGTGTAAGACATGCCAATTTTTTCCCAGTAGCCATTCTTCCTGCCGAACTCCCTTGCGACTGGTGACACTGTGACTGCCAGAGCTGCCAGGCCCCGATCAATGGCGCCGCGGCGCGACACCAGAGGTTGATCGGACAGCAGTCTGGACGAACCTTGGCGGAGTGGGCTTTGGGAGTGGCTTTGGGATCTTTGGGTCAAGCTGCAGGCAAGATTCAGCAAATTAATAATTAAACAAGTCAGTCTCATGACTTCGCCAACCAGACTCTCAGGTGTGTGGCAAGCTACTGTGGCTTCAAAGTCTCGCAGTTGGCGTAAAGTCAAAGAGGAAGGCGCCAGAAAGGCACATTGTGTGTGTGTGTGAGAGAGGGCATGGGGGCAGAGACGGACAATCGACAAAGACCCATAACACCTAGGACCTAGTCCTTTTTGCTTGTTTTGGTTGTGTTTAACCACGCGCCGCCGACAGGTCACCATAGCACCACCAGCTCCTGATTCAGCCTGTCCAATGACCCTGTGGCAAGAATTTCAATCCCAGAGAGCTTTCAACTAGGCTGCAAACGCCTTCTTGCATGTTTTATGGAGCAAAAGGAGTGCTGAAGTGCCTAACATGGTGTGCCAAATCTGGCGACACCTTGACGGCCTGGAGAGGATCTAATCCTGATCCTCCGGACCCAACCATAAAGAGCTGCACCCCAAGGGTCAGCTCATGTTTGGGTCAAAACACCATGTAAAAGTGATTCAGTGCTTCGTGTGGGAGTCGTAGCATGGTACAGTTTTCCGACTGGTAGACCAGAACAAATACAACTGGAGTCACATTTACCAGCCGTGTTGCAGTCAGTAACCGTGCAGATTCAGACATTTTTCGATGTTGCAACTTGTAACCTTGCACATTTGTGCTTAAACTTCAGAAAGTAGGTAGCACCTGGACTGTACTCTCTCGGGCCCTGAGAAAGAATGGCTCGGATAACGATGGGCCCGAAGGTGTGAGTGGCATGTTGCCCCACACCTCGCCAAGGCGAAGACTGGAACAGCATCGGTTGCAGTCTTACAGACTCAGAGACCGGGTGGTCACAGCATTGACGGTGGCCAGATCACTGCCGAAGAATCTCTTGTACTGAAAGGACCGCTTTTCGAACGTATTTAGGGCGCTGTGGACCTGTGGATGAGGAATATCGGTTGGAGAAGGCCCGATCCAGCTGTTGCCTCAGATTGCATTGCAATGCTGCATGGGTTGCAGCTTCTCACTCAGACAGGTGCCAACTCTGCAATAAAACCATGCCAGGGGCTTGGGTCGCACTGGGGCAAGTCATAACAGGTTTTGCAGCAGTTTTCTTCTTTTTTTTTGGGGGGTTGAGCCAAATATAAGCAAATGTTTTCCTTGTCCAGGCTTTTTGGGCCAGTGTGGGTGAGCTCAAGCCTGAGGCACAGTCGTGAGGCTCTTTTGCAGCACGTCCTTGTCAAAGAGGGTCAGAAGAAGGACCGAAGTCCCATTGCTCACCAGCGTTGGATGGGGTTTTCCCTGTGTGATTAGCAGGGGGAGGCCAAGCGCCACTTTGACTATGTGCACAACACCGCCCCTTGGACGTACAAGCAGCTTAGAACATGGCAATGGATGCAGATACTGGAATCCAAGACACTTAATCACGAAAGCCAGCCGATAGGCTAGGCTGAAGTTCGGTTAGGCGAACGAAGTGAGTATTAGGGGGTGTGGGGGGGGTTGTTCGCACACGGGTCAATTTCGGAGGGTGAACCCAGAGACTGCTGGGGGAGAGCAAAGAAAAGTATGTTTGGGAGTTGTTTTTGGGGTGTTGTGATGCCGGCGATGTAATTGACGGGCGAAGAGTGCATCGTTAGCACCATGAGGGGCTCAGGGGGCAATGTAGACCGTCCTCTACCAGGAAAGAGGGGACAACGGGATGCGAAAAGTGGTTGGAACTCCTCCAGGAAGATGCGCGTCTTTGGTGGAAATAGTGTTCGACCAGGGGGTGAAAGGGAGGTGTGTGTGTGTGTGTGTGTCTCTTAAGACATTGTGTGATTTTTGAGGGCAGAAGGTGGAAGACAGGCATAGCAGAGGGACGTGGTAGGAAAAGAGTGCTTGCAAGAAACCTCGGAGCCGCAGGGGGTGCGAGTTCATGTAATGATGCGGTCCGTTGAAGGCAGGAAAGAGAACAGAATGCAGCGGGCAAGCTTTGAACGCCTTATTTTAATTAAAATAGTGAAGAGGCCTAGTAGCCGGACTCTGACGGGCACACCCATATGGGGTGGGAGTTCATGTGGATGAGACAGGCATAGCAGAGGAGGACGTGATAGGAAAAGAGGGATTGCAAGAAGCGATGTGGCCCATTGAGAACAGGGAGGGGACAGAATGCAGCGGGCAAGGTTTGAGTTGCTTGGGGGTGCCTTTTTTCATGGTGAAGAGCCCTGTTGACCAGGGCACCCCATATACATGTGCAGGACAGGCATAGCGGGGGAGGATGTGACAGAAAAAGAGGTGGGGAGCTCACCTGGGAACTCGCACTCGCATATTTATATATATATATGTATTGATATCGTTTGCGGTGGCTGGCTTTCGTCCCCTCCCTTCTCAAGCTAGAGGAATTATTTCTAACTTGCGCTATGGTGGCGGCTTTGTCATGTGTCACATGTTTATCGGGCCAACATGACAACATGGGCTCCAGGTGGTGTGCTGGAGACGGATGCAGCTGTACGGTCGGCTGCTGTGTTACAACAACGTAAATGTTGCCGAGCGTCACTTCAAATGCGGCATGTGCGGCGCGACCGGAGAATGGTGGGATTGCTTCCTCAATGGAGATTTTGGTGGGGGTCTCAGCGCTGCTCTTCGCAGTCTTACAGCTTCTTATTAACTGTCCTGTTTACCGCTTCTTATTAACTGTCCTGTTTTTGTCCTTACTTTGGCGTAAATCTGTCGCTGTTCAATTTAGGTCACATCTGGACCAATAAGCACCTGGAGAACACCAGAAAAGCCATGCACATCGACAGGAGCCCCCGATAGATCCCGATATATACAGTAGTTGAATGAAACGGAAACCAACAGTCAGCAACCGGGTCAGACGCAAGGGGCTTCCACGGGTTTCCTCTATAGTTAGTTGGTTCATGTTATTTTAGATGAAACAGTTACAACAAGGATAGAAACTGTCACAACGCACACCTTGGTCTTTGAATCTGACAGGCTCGACTCGATTTTCTTCTCTTCTCACTCGGGTATGTTCTGACTGGCTCCGTATGGGCCTCCATAGCGATCGCTATGGGCTTGATGTTGCTCGGATTCTTGGCTTCCCACTCAGACCGCTGGGCTGCAAGGAGGAAACTAAACGACTTGATGAACACGGTCATCAAAGAGGATCAGAGGCTTTGGGTGTGGAATGTAATGTGGGTCTTGAAATGTCGGAGGAGTAAAGACTCATCGTTCACGGACAAATGTTTACTGTAAATGTTGACTCCACTTGTGATATTCAAAGACTCGAAGAACACGTGACTCCACTTGCGATATTCCAAGAACTTATGTAATAGACCCCAAATTCCTGTGAATTGCGACCTAAGGCAAGCAAGAACGATATGACTTTCAAACACCAAAGTGGGGTTTGAGATGATAAACACTCGTTCTGGTTCTTTAATACATTGCACTGTGCCTGTGAGTTAGTATCTACAGTCGAAAACGGTAAATCATTCTTTCCAACCGCAGGCTTGCCTGCATGAAAGCTGTTCAGGTTTGCGCCCCTGTGTGTATAATTTGGTCACCCTGCTTCACTAGCAGTTTAGGTCAAGAACTCTGAATTCAACCTCCTGTGGAAGAAATTGGCCTGAGGATACGAAGTTCTTTTAGGCCATGGTTCGTGCGCCTCCTCTCGCTGCCAATGGTCTCCGTTGCATTTTCGGCTCAGTGGGGGTGGCCGTCTCCGAAGGAGCGGCCCTGCGACTCCGAAGGCGCTGAAAGAAAAACCGCGACGGTCGACGGTTGCCTTTTGGGGCAGTGAACGTGTCACCATGTTTCTTTTTCGGGGGGCCAACTCGTGATGCCAGCACAGTCCTGATCAGGTCGCTGCTGAAATCTTCCATGGGTCAGTGTTGTGGAGAGCTTGGGTTGCTGGATTGGTCCTGTGCACCTTGTTGGGACGGCATGTTCTTTTCAAAGCCAAGGCTGCGCAGGAATTGCTGCGCAAGAGGACACTTTCTCCAGCTCGACAAAATGATCATGATGACATGTCGACAGGTATGGACAAGTACCACGCCAGACACATGTGAATGTTGCAGGAGCCTTGGAGTGTAGATCGACCTTGGTCAGCAGCAGACACGCCCGTTGAGGCCGGATTGATTCATCATGAAGTTGTTTAAAGAGAGCCCATCTGTTTCCTCCAAGGTCGTCCAGAAAGTTGACTTGAACAGGCCAGGATTTGCGCATGCTGGCCCACCCTGCGTTTGTTTTTGACCCAGCACATTGGGCGGATGTATTCGTTGATTGGTTGAGTCAGTCTTAGCTCCGCTTAAAGTCGCCTAGGCCTCCAGAATGGCTGGAGGCTGAGATGAGCACAGCATGCTGCCTGATAGTCCTATACCTTTGTAACACCTCTCTATATGCTACTCCATTGCTAACAGCAGCAACCGGCGCATGACATCGCATCCATTTACATCAAGGTAGTGTTCATGCAATCTGGAACCTGGCTGATGGTTTCAAGTTTCAAGGGACTTTGGGCACAATGTTGTGATGTGAGTAGTGTCTTTCGATTGGCATGTAAAGGTCAATATGAAAGTCGAACTGAGCACGCGGAGGCAATTCTCAGTCTTGTGCATGCGGGAAGGCATGCGAAGCCAAATCGCGTAGGCCCCACAAGTATTCTTCGCGAAGGCAACCTGCGTAGGCCAAATTCATTGTTTTTTTCCTCTTCCGTAGTGATGAGTATCCTTTGCAAATCCTTGCAGTAGTGGAGACAGGGTTCATTTTTTCTGGAATATATAAATATATATACTTATATATACATATATACATATATATATATGTGTTGTTTCCTGTTTCTTATCCCGGGAGGGAAGTGTGGACAGCCAACAAGGTTCGCAAAAGCGTATCGCGAAGGCACCGCACAATACCAGCTTAGACGCGAAGGCACCCTTTTCACTAAAATAGGTCTCGCGAAGGCTTGGCGAAGGCAGATGCGAAGGTATGCTTTTAGGCCCTGTCGTTGCCAAAAGCACTGCTCATGTAGTTTGAGGCAGGCTAGGTGGAGGTGTGAAAACCACATATTTTTTACTGACAACCTTGTGGACAATTTGAAAGCTGTTGAATGCTCACAGGGTTCAATGCAATATTATGCACATGTTTTGACAAGCTAAGCTTACGCATGTGACAGCTGTAGGCCGTTTCCTTTGTTTTGCCTCCAGGCGCCAACCCTTCTGCCATTAGTAGCCCGCGGAGGTGTCACTTGGATCAAATCTAATTTATAGTGATTCTTATGCAAGTCTTGCTGGTTCAAAGTGTGAACCCTCAAAACTTCTATGCGTCTATGGAGCATTTGATGAAGTCATGTGAAAGATCGAGGCCTTTGTACCTTGAAGCTCTCATCAACTGGTCGTGAAAACTAACAATTCATTATATCGCTCTGACACGCATGCTTTATTTTTGAATTATTTTGTTTTGATGCGTTCTTTGTTATTCTTCCTCAAAAACACCTACGTCACAACACTGAGGCAAAGGGGGACGATTTTGGACACTGTGACTTGGCGTCACAACGCACAGGAGAAAGCGAAAACAAAGCCCAACAGAAGTCCCAACAGAGTGGCAGGTTCGAAAAGATCCAACGTGTCGGAGCTCGGCGAGCTCGGCGTGCTCTTTCAGGCTGGTGGAAGAGGATCTTTCTTTTGTGTCCACATGTGTCCACTGTGACGCTTGAATCGTCACTGGCACCTTTTTAAAACATCCTTGCTTAGGCTGCATCCCGGCAAGTTGAGGGTGGAGTGGATGAATGGCTACAAAAGTGGTGCACTGAAGAGGTGCTGTTGCTTCGCCTTGAGAAAACCAATTGGGGTGGCGCTGGGTGGGGTGGACATGGCTCAAGCATGATTGATTCGGCAGGTCTTATCTGCATTCTTGCAGGCATCTTCCAAGGACTCACACGGATAAGGGGAAGCGCTTCACGGAAAGCATCGCAATGCAATAGTGATTCGTTCCTGCAGACTTGTCAAAGAACTCTTTACTTCAAAGATCCAACCGTAGGACTTCGTGGTTCGCAGGACTCAGCAGTGGCTTCCCTTTCAACCGCCCTGTGCTGGCGGAAGAAGCACCGATCCGTCCTCACAGGGGCGAGGGTGCCTTCCTGGCAGGGCGACATGAGAGTGGTTGCACGTGGCGAGTCAGGTCATCCTGTGACTCATAGCTGCAGATCAGTCTTTTTGCACTCCCAGTTTTTCTGCATGTCCAACCGTTGGAAGGTGGGCGACGGATGCCACAATTCCCCTGAAGAGGGTTACACAACATGGATTTGGGTGACCTTCGGTTTTGCAAGAGCGGAGATGAGGCAGATCTATCATGCTAAGGCTTGGTCCAGATGAAAGACCATATGGGACGAATAAATAATTACGAATAACCTACTGTACATAAAAATGTTGACATTGCCCACCCGGCGGGATTCTATTAAAATGAGTTAGAATGTCAGTGCAAGATTAATTTCCCCAAGGTTTTGGTGTGTTCACGTCATGTTGTTATGCCAAGGACAGGGTTCTATATAAAATGCTAAGTTGCATTCTCAAGGATTTTTAGTGGTATATATCATATTATATATATGTGTGTGTTCCAAACATGCGACTGGACATTGAGAACTGGTTGCCCAAAAGATTTGTTCAATGTCAATCCGTAAGCTGCCCCGTAGTTTGCGGAAACAATAAGTTTGCAGTTCACAACTAGTTTACGGCAAACAAGAGCTACAAGGCCTGGAATTGCAAAGCCTGAGGGAGGACCTATACCCATGTTATAGATAAAGCCTTCAAGCCAAATTCTATGAGCATAAGGATTGCAACAAAATCGAAGTCAAGGCCATGACCAAGAGAGCAGTTGTAATTGCAGCATATCTCTCTCGGTGGTTTGGATGGTGTTTCATAAGCACACCAAGACACATCGCCGTGGCGATCCCAAAGCGGGGGAAACAACTACAACTATATATACATAGATACATATATACATATATATATATATATAACTTTATTATTATTGGAATTACGAAAGCCAGCCGATAGGAACTATTGCAAGTTTCTATAGCAACTTGTCCTTTCAGGTCAAACACGAACATCTCCAGTCGCGTGTGAGGACACCCTTCTTGTTTGTACTCGTCATGACTGTTCTTTTTCACGGCATTGGAATCAAACATTCTAGAAATTTGATTGACAGCCGGCTCGACCATGTGCGCTTTAATGAGGTGCTTTACGCTGATGATACACTTTTGGTTTCCAGAAATACGACAGGAATGAACAAACTCCGACACGCCGTAGAAGAGGAATCAGCATATTATGGGTTGACGCTCAACCACGACAAATGCAACGTTTTAGCAATGAACGGGCGCACCATTATCCGCTTCCGAGATGGCTCACAAATGAGACACGCCGACGAAGTCACCTACCTCGGCGGAGTCCTCACAAAACAGGTGAACATCGCGTCCAAAATTTCCAGCAGAATTGCTTCTGCTATGGCGACTTGGAAAAGTCTGGATATTTTCTGGAAAGAGGCGCAGTGCAGCTTGAGAAACAAAATCCTGATATATATAATGCCGTCATTAAATCAAAACTTCTTTATGCTTTAGAGACGTTGGAAATCCCAACTAGTCTTCTTTCTCGCCTGGAAGCGTTTCAATTGAAAGGTTTAAGAACAAATTGGGAATGGCTACCACGTATATAAACCGTGCCAATACCGACGCAGAAGTCTTGAGAAGAGCAAATCTTCACGACATCTCCAGCAACGAACTTGGAAGTAAAATAGTGCCCATTCAAGACACTTTGAAGACTCGTCGAATTGCTTTAGCTGGTAGAATTCTTCGGCAAATTTTCACAATAATGAACATCCTATGAGGATGGTAAGTTTCAAGAATGACTCGGCCTCTCCGATCGAAGTATTATTCAGACGGGTTGGCAGGCCACGAAAACAGTGGACCTACAATACCTTGGCTTTGATTTGGAACCAAATCCGCCAAGGCGATGCTGAATTTAACAACTCTCGAGAGCAGCTGGTTCAAATCCTCGACGCAGCCAACAGAGAACGATTTTGAAAACCGCCTTTATCAGGTTGACACCTGGACTTCGAAACTAAATCGACTTTCTAACTTGCACTTTTCCTATGCCATCCAGTTCCTGTACTGACGGGCATGAGGGGCGCCTACGGATATGGCATTTGCTTAGTTGACATTGTTTCACACATTCTTCTCACCCCCATACCTATGGCACGCAAGAAGAAGAGAAGAAGCCGATAGGCTAAGGCGGAGTTGTCGATGGGCGAGCGAAGTGAGTATAGGGTGTGTGGTGAAGGTGGTCGTAGGGCGGGTCCCGGCGGGTAGGGCGAACCCAGAGACTGGTGGGGGAGAGCGAAAATAATCGAGCGCCCAAAAGGTAGTGAACATGTTTGCTTTAGGGGGCCGCGAGTGATTCAAATGCCGCTGAATAGCGCATTATTAGCGTCACGAAGTTGTCAGGAGACTACTTTGACTATCTTAGACTGTCTATTGGCTAGGGGTGGGAGTAGAGGGCAGGAAAGGGCAGTAACCATGCAACAAACGAGGGCACTTCATATTGAGGTGGGGTCGCCAGATTTTTGAGTCCAGGTAGAGAGGACAGGAGAGGAAATAGAATGCAGGCAGGAGCCTCTGAGTTGGTTGGGGGTGCCCCTTTTGGAGTGAAAAGGGTTGTTAACCGGCCTCAGAGCTATAGATGTCCAAGGCTGGAATTGGCCGTGTTTTGTTGGACCTGCGACGTGGTCTGCGCACACCATCAATGCCGACGACCCACGACGGGGTCGTCTCGAATGCTTTTGGACGGTGACGGTGTCACCTTGTCGTTAGTGCTTTAACGACCATTATGTGAAAATGCATTGTGGGGTTGATTACCTCAAGTTTTGCTCCGGGATTTCACCCAAACCTTCAGCCAGGATTCCATATAATTATGCTCGACTCAAATCCTTGACATTTTGGTTGCCATCGTCAGCACCTCGAAAAACAAACGAGTTATATACCATTATTAAGCGGAGTTTGTCAAGTAAAGACCTCGGCCAAATAGTTCAACCCATATGAGGCCGCCCTTTGTTCAGCAGCTGGCCTCAGCTGTTGACAGCTGCAAGGATCTTCATGTCAATGCAACATCAGCCTCCAGCCTCTAGCAGCAGCCAGCCCGCAAAGTCCATATGTTTTGTTTCTTGAGGGGAAATTTTTGATGCCCGGGCCCACCACAGCATGTAGGCGCCTGCATAATAGAACACATGGCTGTTGTCCTGGAAGCTGCCTGCACATCGACAAGTTGCGGAGCTTGGGGCTTCGATGTGGCCTCTTGGTAACAAGGGAGGCGGTTCACAAGGAAAACGGGAAGACAAATGAGGCGAACAGAGAAAAGACATGGATTGAAAGGCTTAAACCAAACATCGCAGTCGTCCCTTGCAGTTTCACCTTGAATGTTGGTCCGGCTCTGACCGCAGCCATTGGATTTGCAGTCGAAGAAAAACCCTGCGAAGAAGCACGATCGCCCCTTCTTCTTCTTTTTCTTCTTCTTCTTCTTTTTCTTCTTCCTCCTACTCGGATTGCATTCAAACAGGCCGGACCACGCTGGGGCACGTCTTTGAACACGCCTTAGGTCTGTGATTGTCGTGGCTTTCAGCTCTCGAAGAATTTGGACCCGCGGCCAGCGGTCGCGGCGATGGAGGCAGATTTTGCATGCTTTTGCTATCAAAACACGTCAACGCATATTGGCATACATTGGCCGATTTGGTTTTTCCACAGAATGGCAAGGAATGAGGCATTGTGTGTAAGACTTTCCAGTGATTGTTGCGAACTCACCGCCTACGATGTCGAATCCACGTGTCGCTTGCGGGTTGCGTTTGATTTGCTTAATGTCTCGGGTGTGACGTTTCAGGGGCACTTTATACTTTTTGGACTAGGTTGTGAGGCCCAATCGTGCCTGTGCCTGTCGCATACATTCTCACGGTTCTATGCGTGACTGCTGTTCATCTGGCAGATGCTGAAGCATGCCTACCGCGGACGGCTCCGTCACGCCTTTCTAGTGGGTGCTCCCTCGGCCTTCAATGCCTTGTGGCGAATGGTCAAGGGGTCTGACAGCTCAGTGCACAGATTTGCAGAAGTCGTACCTCAGTACTCACAGAGCAGTATAAAGCCGTAAAAAGCTCCATTGTGCATGTAAGGTTGCTGCCAAAGCGGACCCAGGACTGCTTCCCGTTGGGGTGGCAATGCATAAACCCTCCCGATACCGTCTTCGTCCACTTCGCCACTACCTTCTGCTTCCTTGTGCGATGATAGCCGCAGTCTCTTTTTTGCGAGTGCTTGGCTCAAGCTTTGAGAACTCCTCAAGCTTGCGCACTGTAGGTAGGGAGGGCGCAGGCTGTAAAGAACATTTGAAGAGAGAGTCCCGAGGCGGAGATGAGAGCAGAGGTAACGATACAATCAACTAATTCTTATATGTCACATGTTGCAACTTCTAGTTGATTTCACACAAATCTTGACAAAAGGTTTGATTCAAGCGTGCCCCAAGGGCTTGAAGGCTTCAAGGCTTTGACGCAAATCTACCTGCGGAGCGCCATGAATCCGGTGAATCCAACATCCACGTTTTCATCGGAGCACTCGTCCTCCACAGATAGGACTGGCGCGCTACAACGATCATCATGTGGCTCGCTTTTTGGTTTTGTTGAAGGATTCAAAACTCGAACGAAGATGACAATACATGCTGGATTTGCTATAGAGTCTTGGCTGTGAGCTGGGTGCGTGCGAGTACTTCAGTGCTGAAGATTTGGACAGGTTTTCTGGGAGCTGAGGTGCGTTGGGGAAGCGACATTTCAAGCCACGACACCATTGCAGAATTTGTGGCCGCCCAGTTGGGTGCACAGTTGCATTGTCTTACTGAGTGTGTAATTGCGATGTCTATCGATGTCTTATGTTGCTGTGCCTTATGTGATTTCTGAGCACGACAACCGTGGCAGCTCACATGGCGAGGTGTGTGGAAATTGCTGCTCACTTGCACCAAGCTGACAAACCTCAGCAGCTTGCGCTCACGGTGCCAAACCCAACGTCATACTTTTATAAGTACTCCTATACTAAGTATATCGGAGATATTCTAAGATAAAAAGTGTCTATGTGCCATTGTATATATATATACTATATGCTGTATATATATATTGCATAATTATGCATAGTTATATATATAATATATGTTTTTAAACGTATTTGTAGTAGCGTGCCCCCCCAAATGAAGCACGATGTAGAACAATTTTTTGGAAAACTGCTGATGCAGAATGTGGTGGCGAGACAGGCCGCTCCAAGAAGAAAAGGCCGCTCCGAGTCCTTCGGGGGGAACGCGTTGCTTAGGCTCACCGTGCCGAGTGGTGATTCAGGATTCATTGGAACGGGCCTGTACAGCATGTGCAGCAAATGCCCTGAAAGTGCAACTCAGCGAGAATCCGGAAAGAAAGGCACGGCAACTTCTATCAAGGTGACGGTAACTTCAATCTACAAATCTGATGAAATCACATACAAAGAAGCCCGATTCAAGTTTGGTGCAGTGCGTGAATTGGAGCTTCCAACTTAGACGAAGACTTCGCACTGAGGCATTCCATTACCCAGCAGCTTTCGTTTCTAGCCCGACAGCTTGCAGACTTGAGCGGCAGGCCTTTGTTGTATGACATTTGTGACGGCCGGCGTAAAGGATGTATGTCGGACCTTCGATCGAGTCAAGGCCTCCGGATGAAATCGAGCCACCCAACTTGGAGGCCGATGGTCACCGTGGACACATGTGGACACCAAAGACCTTCCTGAGGCCACAGCGGACCAACAACTCAAATGACGCATCAAAGCTCCACCCCATATGCTGAGCATGGGGCCGATACCTCTCTGCTGAATAGCTGAATAGGATTGAATAGGGTGTTCCTGCATTTTGACGGTCAAGCGCTGTGCCACGCCTCCCTCAATATGCCTCTCAGGCTGCCCTCAGCTGCTGTGAAGAAGCTGTAGAACCCTTAAGGACCTCTTGTGCAGCAACGGCAAAATCACTGTGAGGCGGTTGCACAACTCAGTTCTGTGAATAGCTAAAGCTACAGTATGCTACAATTGAGGGCTGTTCTGCGTTTCACAACATATGCTAGGCTTGCATGCTTGAGCCACAGATCCTTCACGCGTGCAAAGCGCAGGAAAGAGCGGGTAAAGCACAAGATTGATGCTGCCTCGATGCAATTGGACCTCCAAACTGTTTAGTCCTGCAAGCTTCGCGGGAAGCTTCGTGTGAACTTGAATGCGCCATAAAATTATGTGATATTATATGTATATTACTGTATATGTATATTATGTGTGTATGTATGTATACTATTGCACAGTTCGGGCCAGTACCTTGACGTGTGACAGTCTGTCAGAGTTGAGGAGCGGCGCCGGAGAGAAGTGGAACAGGAGCTTGCCATCGTGCAGGAGGAATTGGACTGCCTCAAACGAGGGGAGTGCAGGACAAGGGTCATGACATTTCATGATGCCCGCAGTCCATGCGAATTCCATGCGTTGCCCACGATGTCATCCATCTCTTCGTGAGTTCTAACTATATATCAGACTCTTCAGCCTGGTGGTGAAGTAAAGTATCGCGCCACACGTGTGGGCCTAGCGAGGACTCGGACCTGGCCGAAAAATACCGACGTGGCTGGTGCCACCTTTGACTCCGTGGAGTTTGGTGCCTGGGCAGCCTGGGTTTAGCGGCAGCATTCCCAGATGATTGGCGTGAGGTGGAAATGGAGGAACTGTGAATAACTTGGATACCGGATGCTTGATATAGCACGTCAAAACTGGTATTTGAGTTTTCTACGGACAAGAGCTTGCTTTGCGCCTTTGCCAGCATCTACAAACACGGGTGGATGTGCTTCGCGGGAATCCCACTGCTGGATTTGCAGCCGACGTCTTGGCAAGCGTTCCTTGTCCAGCATCAATGTGTCGTGAAGGTTTTCCAACCGTGAAACCAATCTCATGATTCTGACCTACTCCTAACCACCGAGAGTGAGCGGCGGCAAAGTCGTTCATCTTTCACAGGCTTCCTGAACCCACGCCATCACTGTCGAGTTTGCCTCCGGCCTGTATGTGGGCAATGCTCTCCGAGCTGCATCACGATGGTTGCTGGACTTTACTCTTTGCCCCTAGTAGCGTCTTGTTCCTAGTACTGTAGTAAGGCCAGAAGCCCCTAGTAGCATCCTTGCTCCTAGTAGCGATGCCCTTTGTTCCTAGTAGCGTCCTTGCTCCTAGTAGTAAGGCCAGGAGCCCCTAGTAGCTTCTTGTTACCAGTAGTAAGGCCAGGAGCCCCTGGTAGCGTCCTTGCTCCCAGTAGCGATGCCAGGAGCCCCTAGTAGCGAACATCGTTCCCGTTGTGTGTTTCTAGATTTCTTGTGTATTTGTCGCAAATGAATGCCACCCACCCCTGAGCCCGTTCTGTAGATTGCCCCTGCTATATCTGCAGTACACACGACTAGAAGTGAAACCGCTGCCAAAGCTGAGGAAGGGAGGAGTACGACTCAGCGAGCCTGTCGTGTATGTGCCAACAACGCGGTGCAAGCGCGTGGATCTCAGATTGTGCATCATGACTCCCAAACACATGGTTCAAGAACCATTTGAATCCTCCGTTACTTGAGAGCATGCTGTAGAAACTTTAGGTTGATTGAAAGGAGTCACACCCAGTTTCTCAAACAACCAACGACTGGTCCTTTGTGAGCATTTGATGCCCTGGAGGCATCAGATCATATCCACAGCCAAGGCCATTGCTAGAGCGGCGGCTGAAGGTCTTGGCACAAGGCCATCTAAGCTGGATTCTTCCGCAACTCCCCCAACAATCATCATTCCTACCCCATATATATAGATATATGTATTTATTGCAATATTACATAATTATATATTATATATCTGCGTGTGTGGACCATACTTACCATTTGCCCCTAGCGGGGGGCGTCATGTCAAGTGTCAATCTGGGAAGGCGATGGAAAGCGTACCAAATAGAGTTAGATTCAGTCGAGTGAAGGCCAAGGTGACCACAAAACTGAAGAGTAAGTTATAGGTTATAAGTGCTGTAATGCATACCAGACACGTTGTCGAGGCATTGTCACTCTCAAGATGTAGACGTGCTCGCGGATGGTCGAAAGTTGACGTAACTGCTTGTTTTTACGGGTACTTTCGACTTAATGAATGCGGTCTGTTGGTGGCACGACACCCAATGAGTGAATCAACCGTTTTGCAGGCCTCAACGCCTTTGCCGTCGGGACGACCGAGCGAGGCAGGTGCTTCAAAAATCTTCAAAGACGTTTTTGAAAAGCTGCAGGCAACCTGCCGGGTAACCGGCTTGCGCCGTAGTGCATGTAAATTGCAGAACTTCTCTGACCCCGTTGAAGACGTGTGGAATGACAAGGGGCTTTCTGATAGAAGCATCCCGATTCTTGTGTATGATCTCAAGTACTCTCAAGTAGTGTTGCGTGCAAAGCTGCTGATTGCCTGCCACAAATCTGTTGCAGGAAGCCAAGCTGGCGTCGGCTTGGAAGACGCTTTACGGCAGTGTGAAGTGGCGTTTCAGCTGCTCAAGGAAGCACCGAGACGCTGAAGTACATAGTACAAAGAAATCACCTGATTTTTCATTACACAGACATTGATGCAGGTGGGTCAATTAAGCCAATGTACAGTGCAGCCATGTGGTGCTGTGCAGTTTGAAGGCCCATGGGATTAACACGGGCCGTTATTTTTATGCGCTTTTATGGCACTCTGGCCTCTCAGCACTCAAGCTGTGCCGGAATTTAGCAAGATGCCAGCACATCGTTTGTAGCTCTCAACAGTTGGTATTCGGGATGAGGATCGTTCCTTGGATTCGGGTGTTTCTCGATGTCTGGCGCGCTGTGCACGCAGCCAAACCGAGCTGCAGAACCTGCGATCCAACGCATGCGGTTTTGTTCAGAAAAGGATGAGGGCTCTGAGGGCCTAGACTTCGACTTCCAGAAATCATGCGACCCCGGCGTGCAGAGCAGTCTTTGGTGCTTTTTGAGGAGAAAATCCAGTTCATCTCTGTCAAGGAGGCGTGGGCAGAACGCGCATCACCATCAACCTCATCCACGGTTTTACTCAACTTGGCAATTACTCCGCAGGCGACTTGCGCGCTGGAGAAGTGCTGCGGCAACGGAGCGAGCGTTGTTTTGCAGCTGCTGTATGATTCCAAGGATGGGTAGCTTTTTGATAGTTTTTTTTGTTGGTAGCTTCTTTGAGACTTTGGCTTTTTCAAAGGTGGCTTCTGTTGCTTTCAGCCTTCGATTTATTCTTTAGTCTTTGGTTGAAGGCTTGGTGGCTTCTGCACCCTTGGGCTGGCCACCAGGTTTTTGCCGGGGACCTCCCTACCTCCCCAAACAAGCTATATGCATCTATATGCTATATCCCACAAAAGATCCGCTAAAGGCTTTTGTCCCAGAACTCTATCAAACGCAGCTGAAGATATGCCCGCGGATGCCCGCGGTATCCTGCGGTGTGTTCTATTTCTTTGGCAAATTGGCTCACTTGTTTGCTTGAGCCTATTCGTGCTACTTGATCGTGTAGGCTTTTCATTGGAAGTCCCGAAGGCATACGTTTGCTTTCGCAGTGCCGCAGTGGAAGGACAAAGCATCATGGAAGCTTCCCAGTGAGCTGGCCGAGTGAAGGTTGCTCTGTATGGGAACTGTACAGTACAGAACAGATGTTTAACTTTTGTGGCTTGCAGCATTTTTGCAGCCAATTCCGAAGCTACTTCGGATCCTCATTGACCTGGGTTCAAGCCCGATGGATCCTGTTTCCATCCCCGTCCAATGTATAGATCTTCATGATATCCCTTTCTGCATCCAGCAGAGCATTCCATTCATGTGGCCAATTTCGACCCACAAAGTCTTTGCCAAGTCGTGCAGGGATTGAGATGCTCTTACTTCCTGTGTCTCCTTTGCCTGTGCTCGGCAAAGGTTGTTCTCGCGTGAGCCTTGCACCAGATATGTGTCTCTGGAGAAATGGGAATTGGAAGCATTCTGCCAGCAAGGTAAGGAGGTCAATCAGACATCGTGCAGGATCCAACACAGGTAAAATATCTTGAGGGCCCAGATCTTCTGGTTTTGGGATGCCAGCAACTCCACACCCCCACTGCTGATATTCCGAAGAATCATGAAAGCAGGATGAATGACAGCTGCAGTTTCGTGACCTTCAGATTTGCAGTTTCGTGACCTGCAGGCCCAAGCAAGTCTTTTGCCCCATGTGTTGATTCTGCCCTCGGATTCCACATGTGATGAGTTGGCCCTCGCCTACTGATGATGCGTGGCGACGTATTAGCTGGTTGAGTCCTTTGGCCCTTCGCTTCACACATGCGGAGATCAGCGCAGCCACTTGGTGAGAAGAGTCATCCAGGGTGGTAGCATTGTCATTGGAATATGCACTCATCTGCATGCCCCCTGTGAGCTCGCCAATGCCCGAATCTATCTCTCTCTCTATATATATTATTGGTTATGGATGGCCAGACCTCATTGTTTTCAGAGTTGATGAGCCTACCAAATGATTCTCTTGGCAGAGAAAGTGCACCTTCAAAAAGATGCTCACAACTTACTGTTGTGTTGCTCAACCGCATCACACACGGAGATAGTGCAATGCTTATATAAACAAATCCCATGCTAAACAGTTCATGCCTTCGATTCGATGCCATTCATTCTCGCATGTGTTGCGGCCAACACGGTCACCTCGCGTTCGATGCCCTAGTCGCAACGATTGCATTTTGGCAGGGCTAGATAGGGCCACGTTGCCATTGGGCTAGATAAGTTGCCGCTGCAACTTCATGCTTAGAGTCGTGCCAAGGAGTTCCAGAATGGCAACAAGCTGGATGAGACCATTGATCAATTTTACACGCAAAGTTTATCGGCGCAGGATTTCCTGCAAGCGCCTTTGGAGGTAGTATGTAAGGATGGCGCCCTCTGGTCTCTCAACAACAGACGCCTCTATGTGTTCCGTGTGGCACATGCATTGGGCTGCTGCACGTTGTGCCCTTGCTACATTGTGCCACAAGAGCATCCCTCCGTCGACAGGATCTTGAATCGTTGGAATGCCACTTGGACTGGCAGAGCCCGAGGATGAAAACAGTTGAATAAAGAGTTGGAAGCATTGTCCTTTTACCAGAATGAATTGTTATCATAATTATCCAAGGATGCCTTGACCAGCACCACCAATGGCAAGCTGGTGAATGTACGAGGCAGAAATAAGTTGTTCACGATAGCCAGCCCAGGTTTTGTGGATTAGCAGTGCTTTTGCTTTAGCGATGCTTCGCAGGTGGAAGCCGGCACCAGGAATTTCAAACAGGACATCCCATAAATGCACAGGCAGCAGCCTCATTGCAGCTACCATCGATAGAGCAGCCTGGACCTCAGACTGGCCATGAAGACTTACAGTCTAGCCGGCACGTTCGACCCCCACCCTGCTACGAGAAAGATCAATCACCCCTTATTATTTGCTTTCAGCTCCCTTCAACAGATGAGTCAGGTCTGGAGGTGTTCACATGTGTTCACCACAACTTTCACACAAACATGCAAAAACCCATTGACCAACCATCCGTGCGTAATGTGAAAGATGTCCCAATGCTTCTCCGATGTTCGCACCAGTCACAGGTTTCTGCACCGGGCCAAGATGACAATGGGGTGCACGCAGGCTGAGATGATACTTGGCACTTCAGACATGGACGAATCCTCAACACGATGTCATGAAAAGAGCCTCAACGGCGTATCCCAGGAGGAGCTACCAAGAGCTCCTGGCAAAGGAAGGTTTCACGACCCTTTGCTCGAACCTTGGCAGCAATGGCCTTCTGACCCCTGTTGAACATCGGTGTCTCGCTCGGCTTCGCTGTGAGGCTTTTCGACCTGGCATACTGCGCGGCCTCGGAGCTAGGTCTTCCAAATCGATTGCACCGATGCTTATGTCAGTTGCTGTCCAGCGCCGAGCCCTTCGATTCGATTCGAGAGGAGCAAGGCGTAGTGCAAGGCGCGCATGGAAGCGGAGCTGATTCGTGGACAACGGATGAACAGGCAAACTGGAGCCACCAATCCTGGCGGGAGAAGTCTGACACGGGCAGGTTTGTGTCACAACATGGTTGGGGGGATGAGACCCAGTGGCAGAGCTCAGGGCATTCCACATGGCAGCAACCACACTCAAGATGGCAGACATCAGAGCATGCTACATGGCAAACAACAGGGTCGTCATGGGAGATGCCAAGGCGTTCTACTCAGGCCACGTCAAGTTCAAACTCAACATGGCAGACTCCCTCAGAGAACTCTGGGTGGCAGCCACATGAGCATTGGCCATGCCAGATGCCACCATATCCCACAGAGCAACCCGCAACACATTCAACATGGCAGACCTCAGAACACTCCGAATGGCGCCACCAGGAGAATGATTGGTCGTGGCAGATGCCCGCGCATACCACAGAGCGACCCGCAGCAAACACGACATACTCAACGCGGCAGACCTCAGAGCAGTCCAGGTGGCAAAGCCAAGTGGATTTCGCGCGGCAGATGCCACAGCGTCCCACATGCCAGGCCGCAACTCATTCAGAGCAATTGTGGGAGCATTCCACGTGGAAGAGCCAAGGGCAGTCATCATGGCAGGTGTTGGGAACTCCGTCAGTGGGCGCACCAGAGAAGTTGTCATCGCAAACGCAGATGCCCAGACCACTTGGTGAGAACTCAGGAGTGAATGTTGAGAGTGCACAGGAAGCTGTTGATCCAGCCGTCGCCAGGGAGTTCGTGGAGTCGTTCTGCCGCCGAAGAGAACTCACCAAACCTGCCAAACGGGACTTGCTCAACTTGGATGTTATGCTCGCGTTCGACATTGTCAAGGCCTTGGAAGTTGACAAGAAAGACCTGTCACTGCAGCCAGCAGAGTGGAGCAAGATTGTGGGCTCGCGAGTGGCTGCCAGGGCTGCAGCTGGAGAGCTGGACCAGAGCTTGCTTCAGCGGATTGAGTGGCTCATAGCAGTGTCTTGGAATATCTGGGAATCATTGCTATCTAGGTATAGGTATTTTATTATCTCTATTTGTCTCTGATATATATATATATATAATATATATACACTTACAGTATCTGCAAATCTGGGCTCGAAACTCTGGAGACCCTTCAGACAACCTTGCATGACACTGGACCGGGACATTCAGGAAGTGGTGCGAGCAAGCATCCTTTCTCAGAAAGTCATTTCAGAACTACGCTCCACCCTGCGCTCACTTCCGGCGCCAGAACTGGAGGATGTCTTGCGTGACAACAACTTCACGCAGCGGGTCCCCTTCGGTACCATCAACAACCCTGCTGCTTATGCTCACAGGATAGCAGACAGAGCTCGAAAGCGGCGGGTTGAAACAATGAAGCTGGGTTGCACTTAAGGTTTGACTTGCAAGATGAGCGCCTTCGCACCCACACACACACACACATGCATGACAATACACGCACACACGCACACACACACAGATATACGATATACAGTATATAAATATATATATTATATATATATACACATAAATCTCCCGACGGGTTTACTTAAGACAGTGAGTGTTTTTGGGGATGGTCCTGAAGTAATGGGTCACTGTCTCAAGCAAAAAAGAACGCAAGCATCCTTCCGGGTTTCCCTGCCTGACGAGCCAGACGGCGAGCGAATCTCCTGTTTGAACATGCATTTTTCTCCGTACTGGCCACCGTGTCGCTTCAGCCACTGAGAGCTGCTGCCCGCTGCCCACTGTGCGTAGAGTCTTGGGGCTTTTGCCTACGCTGCGTCACATTTTTACAAGATGTCCGAAGCCACCACTGGGAAACACATCACCACAACAGGCCGTTGACTTCTCCTTCACGGTTTCGTGCAGTGATTGGCTTCGGCACCCACCGCTTTACATCAGCCCACATTTGATCCACAATGTTGGGATGGCACGAATAGCCAGACGAACCGGTGGCACATCAACGCAAGGTATCGAAGGTATATGAAATGTAAGGTACTGTAAGGTTTGGAATTCCACACGGCGTTTTTTAAAGACATATGAGTGTGCACGACAGCATGCATGCAAGCATCTTGCCCATCCCCCTCCGTTCATCCTGCTGATGAACACGCAGATGTGTGACGATTCCTCGAAGTCGAAATTCCATTGTGTTCTGTGCAAACACGACAAAAACCATGCGCGAAACAGACGCGTCTTTTTCGCACCAATAATTTCCCGATAAATGCTATTGAACAACCACGTAAAATACATATACTGTAAAAGTACACGTGATGCATTTCGCACCACTGCCAAACCCGTCTGGATATTCAGTATATACATATGTACACACAGATATTGATATATATATATATACATATATATATATACACACATACACAGTATCATACACACATGTTTCCTGATGGGGCCCCGGCTGGGCCAGGGACTTTACCCTCGCCATTCTCCACTGCGGAACCTTTTTCGTGCCAAGGATTCCGGACTACATCGCCCGTTGGAGGTATTCTCGCCATACTGAGCAAGCATTAAGGGAGCTTTGTCGGGCCAATCCGATGGGAACGTTAAGGCTCATGGAGAACCACAAGGCCAGGAACCATCCGCGTGCTGCTCAGATAGACCAGATTTCTGGATATATAGCTACTGGATGAAATGCATTCTCTCGTGAGTTGAGATTCTTTCATATATTCTTTCCATAACTACTGTCTCGCAGGCTTCCCGCGGTGAAGCCAGCCTCCTTCGCGACATACAGGCAACTGAGCAAAGAGGTGTCTTGGCTTCCTTGTTCGTAGATCAACAATGGACGCCAGACTCGAGCCACATGGGCATGTAACTTGCCTTGGAGCAACTTGTCGTGCAACTTGTCATGTCAAGGCCGGAGCTACGTGTCTCGAACCCCATGCCGATCAGCACATGAGAACCACAAGCAGCTCGAAAGCGAGTGGTCGGACGAAGAGACTCCAGAAAGGCCCTGTGAGGCTCAAAGCGGGAAGGTGGACTGGACATCATCCTGTTTAATTGAAGAAAGGAATAGGAAAGGTGCACCCAAGATCTTCCAAGCAAGATTTATCTCAACATTGCGACAGAATGTTGCGTAACAATCGGTTTTTTGATAGTTTTTGTCCTGAGTCCTTATATACTGTAATTGTGCTTGTGCGCCAGGTGTGGAGCAATTGGAGGCCCAGTGACTTGCCACGGGTGGAAGTGCGCGCGGGCAAGGATGACACATGCGGCGCAGAAGGCAGAGAGCAGAAAGGAGGCAAGTAAGGGGTTGAGGGAGAGAGGGAGAGAGGGATAGAGAGAAAAGCGAAAGCGAGAGCGAGAGCGAGAGCGGGAGGGAGGCAGGTAGGCAGGCAGAGAGGCAAGGGAGGGAAGGGAAAGAAGAACGAGAGCAGAGAAGCGAAGGGAAGAGAAGGGAAGAGAAGGCAAGGGAAGAGGCGAAGAGACGGAAGAATGAGCAGAGCAGAGGCAGAGACGAAGACAGATCAGGGTAGGGGAATTATTAGAAACAAGCGCATCGCTCGTAGTAACAAGTGCCTTATTAGTAGTTAGTAGTAACAATGGTTGCTATTAGCATTAAATTGAATTTTTATTAATAGCTTCTTGTTACTAGTAAGGCACCTGTTACTACTAGCGATGCACTTGTTCCTAGTAGCTTCCTCCCCCGTGTTCCTTTCTGCGACTCTTTGTTTCTCCAAGCCCTCGTTGCGTGTTCACTCCAGGAGACGCTGGCAAGGCGGCAAGTGTTCCACAAATCAATCATAAGCTTGCCGTCGTCCCGGAGAGCTCGGTGGGTGAAGCCGAACTGGAGGCAGATGTAACCGGCAACGAAACTGAGCATAGTGCAGTTCAGCCCAGTGGTGGAGCTGAGCCCCAAGATGAAGGTGATCCCTTTGAAGATGGATCAGACTCGGATGACTCAGATGCAGCTTGCCGGTCGAAATTGTCAGGCGAAAATGAAACACAATCCGGGGACGTCCTTGGGAGTACCGTGCTTTACCCACCATCCCGTCATATTCAAGGTGGGCGGAGTAATTGACTTGTGTTGTATGGAAGTTAAGCTTCCATGGTACTGCAATAGAAATTAATAGAAATTAGGGAAACACGGACACATAGGACAAAACGCAGGAAAACAATAGAACCAAACATGAGATTCTTTTATCTCATTGTTTGCATTTTTTCCTCAAAGGCTGTAAATCTGGCAGAACGAAACAAAGGACAATTGGACACATAGCAAGAAATAGGGTCAGCAAACGATATACGTGTGAAAGCATAGGCCATACATGTTTCCAATGTATATATATATATAATTATATATATAGAGATCATATGTTTGATCATTTGTTTTCAACTGGTTGTCCTATTCTGCGCAGACTTTTTCAATCTATTTATAGAAACATTTTGCGACTTTCAATCCCAAGCTTTATTTGGGACAGCACCACATTTTGACTGGTCTCATTTCTCACCTTGAATGTTGTGAGGATTCATTGCCGCCAATGGAGGTCATTTCCACCCAAGTGGCAATGGCGCCGCCCAAGACGCAGGCCAGGTCCGAGCCTTGATTAATCTTGAAAGCATCACGCATAAACTTGCATTATTAGAAGAGCTGTAGGTGACAAAACTATGTGGAATCTGCAGGTCGCGGTTCACTTTGTGATTGTCTTAGACATTTCCGGAAGTATGTCAAGCTGCGACTGCTACAGCCATGAGGGAAAGCGGCAGCGGCGAATTGACGCGGCTCCTTTTCACAGCTATGCAAATGTCATCAAAATTCTGTTGGAAGAAACCACGTCATCCCACACTGAGGGTGTTCACCAGGCTAACCGGGTTTGGACCGAAGCGGGCTATGGGACCTGGAAGGGCAATCAAAAGTAGTCAGGACCAACAGTAAACGAATGTTAATAAAGGCCTCCAAATTAGTACAGCCCTGGGTATATTGGCTCTATCATATCAAGCGTCGACATGAAACTTTGCCTACTCTTGTCCCGAATTTGGTGATTGAAACTGTATGTGACGATTTCGTGGTGATGAGGTTCAGGAGACATTGAGCGAGTTGGCGTGTGACATCGAAAAAGGGCAGCAAAAATATCTTCCCACTACCTCGCGCCTCAGCATTGAAGTATCAGTGGCGGGCTTGATTCCTTTGCAAGTCTTTTTACAGATTACATGAGATTAAATGCCTTCAGGATGTAAATCGGCTTCAACATGCAGTACTATAACAGTTGTAATCAGATTCAATGTTGTTTGCTTTGCAGTCGAGCAACTTTCTGATTGAGTGATCCTTTGTATGCAGCATGATGTCCTCTTATACAATTCTCTATTTTTGTCCACCGTACGTGTTTCCAGAGAACACAAACACTTTCGGCTGGAAACACACGAAGGTGCGGAGACGTTTATTCTTTCGTCACCTTCAGCACGTGGCACAGAGTCGAGTTCCGCCTCCAGAACGCCACTGCAGCTGCTGAGCAGTTGCAACGACGGTGCATTGATCCAGATGGGCAAACGAGCTATACAGCCGGCCTCGAAGGGTTGGAATCTTGCGCGCCTTGGCCACATCGGCAATGCGTCGCAATGTATGGTTGCAAGGCGGGTCGGCGATATCGGCATAGGCAGGCCATGCAATGGATCTCCGCTGCAGGGTGTGGAGGGGCATGTCAGGGATGGTGTTGCCACAACCTTGAAATTGAACCCGAGCCAAGGTAAAGGAGGCAGAATTGCGCAGCGACACCAAGGGCAGGCCTACGTATGCGTGCCTTGGGTTTTGGTAAAGTTCTAGTGGAGATTTCACACGAGCTTGGGGCACAACACAGCCGCACAAACAAAATGCTGGAGTTTCTCATTTCACTGAGGTTGTTTTTGTCGGATGGTGAGACTTGGGACGCAGATCAATTCCTGGGCAAACTGGGAAGCTTGAAGCAGAGCCTCTCCAGCACAATCCGGTGCCTCAGGCAAAGTTGAGCCGTGTATCGAATCAGTTTGAGGTTGCGCTACGTTCCTTCATGGTGTTATATACTATATACACATGCTCCCAACGGCCATCGAAGAACGGAACGTAGACAGTGTCCAAGCCTTCTGCGCCCACATGTGTGGGTCTAAATAGTGCAATCTCAATGACGATCAACAGTTTTGATTGGCTTTGCTGACTTTGGCCGGGTGAGTTGTCTCTGGGGCGTGGAGGTGTTGACAGGCTTACAGGAATTAAGCGAATTATATACTCAGAAACCGCCCAAATGGGACAAGATTGGTAGTTTGCCACTGTTCTTTCAACACGTTTGTTTCCAAGGATCAATGCAGTGGCCTTTGGCAATAGCGACGAACACGGCAATGACTTCCAATGTTGCTTACAGCAGCTTGCCGTCCTAGGACCCTGGCCTGGTGCAATCACGCGATGTAGACTAGGGATCTCTCGTGATAGTGTTTCTCTCGTGAGAGTTGCCATTAATCTGTTAGGAGGCGGTAAGTTCACACCGGCAAGCAATTCTGTGGCCAGCCTCCGCGCAGCTTTCAGAACAGTCAGGACTTTTGCCTGGCCAACGGGGGGAAAGATAGGGTAGCAGCTACTCCCAACATTTCCAACGCTGGTGGTTGGCCGGCAATGCTAGGAGTACCATTACTACGAGTCGCCGGAAAGATAGCGTGGAGGCCTGTACGGTTCGTGTTGCATGCTGACCAGAGTTTAACGTTGCACGACATGCTGCTTACCTTGTGAATGAGCAGTAGTTGCTTGTAAACATTTGCTGAAGCAGTGCTCTCCTTCTACTCATGGACTGGCTTGACCAATATTTTCAGGTGTCATCGAGAAGGGCTGCATCATTGGATGGGCCAAAGCCTGATGAAGCTGAAGTTGACAACAAACTTCAGCGCGTAGAGGTTAGTTTCCAAGCTGCAAGGATGAGCCAAACAGGGCCACAGTGGCACATCGCGGAGCCTGATGGGTGGAACATTCACTCGTTGGGTTAGCCTTGGTTCCTGTCCTTTCTTCCTTTTTTTTCACATCGAAGGCTCTTCCGATAAAACCAAACATACCGAACTAGTAGGTTGGAGGCCATCGCTACTAGGTTGACGAACAAGGTGTTTCAATCAGTAGGTTGACGTTTGTGTTGGGCAGCTTCAGGTGATGAGGCTGGCAGCTGGCGTTCGGCGCATGTCATCAAGATGAACACTGACCAGACCTGTGAGGTAAGGCTTTCGGATGGTGCTACGACGCTTGTGGTGCAGTTCAAAATTCTTTTTTTGGCAACGCTTGTAGAAATGCGTCCTTGTTCCTAGTAGCGACGCTTGTGGTGCTCCGGGGTGCCACCACACTCACATAGTAGCTTTGATTCTCCAGACCTTGGCCGCCTTGGCCTCGATAAGGATGTGCGTGCCCTTCGGGCGGGTTTGGTGGCCATCCACTGGTGCTGAGCTTGAAGTGGAATCAGCGCAACCCAGGATGGTGCAGAGCTATTTGAAAACCTGGGAAGGTGCCTTGATTGCCTTGAGTTGTAGTGAGTTTGATCAGTCTTAGAGTGCAATTGGACTGGAAGACACGTGCCAAAGGATGGGAAGATTTTAAGACGGCGCGGCGATATCGCTATCGCTTTGATGGGAAGTGCTTTCACGTGGATGAAGTGGTCGAGACTAGGGTGTGCCGCCGCGTCAAGCGCCTTGGGCTTCAGAATCTCAGAGTTGGAAGAAATGGCAGGAGATCAACATATGCCCAAGCAGTAACAAGAGGACGCTACTGTACTAGTAACAAAGGGCATCGCTACTCGGAGCAAGGACGCCACTAGTAGCTCCTGGCATTACTACTAGTAACAAGAAGCTACCAGTTCAGATGGCCGCAGACTGCTGACGTTTCGATATATTTATGTAGGCTATTGGTTATTTTAGGTTTTAGAACAGCGACTGAGGTTCTTCAGCAAGGGGCAGATGCGCATCGTTCGTTTCATGATTGATGAGAGCATGGGGAAGGATTTACTGCTTGTTTGCAAGCACTTACTTGTTCCCCAGCGAGCCTTTGCTGCCCTGTGACGTTGTCCCAGCAACGCAACTGGCCGTCCGTTGTCCCAGCAACTTCACTTCAAGGAACGGCTAATGGAAAGTTGGAGATTCGACCAAGCACCAAGGTCGCTTCCTGAGGTTCTTGAAGTGTTGCCGCGTTTCTGAAGTTTGCATACTCGTAGTGAGTTGGAGATTGGGACCCAGTCTGGAAATGAACTTTCAGGCAGAGATGGAGCAGTTCTGCCGTAACTCTGCAGTGGCGGCGCACTTTGCAAAGCGCTTCCGGACCAAGCATGGCTGCTTCCTTGAATTGGATCATGGGGGTGGGCTGGAGCCTGGAGCTGCACACACTTTTTATATTCATGTGACATGTCAATTTGTATGTTCGGGGTGGGTGCAGTATAGTTAAGTCTAATCACAACTACCATGTCACACTTTCTTGGACACCTGGGCCGTCAAATGAAGAATGGACAAGTGCTGAGTGAAATTGAAGAATGGACAATACTCCAACATGTGAGTGTGTGTGTGTGTGTTCGAGGCTACGAGTCGCTTGGATTCACAAAGGAGAGCTGCACGATGGATTCTTCCACTCCCTCGTTCTTGGCGTTTTGGAGTGGCTTCAGCTACCAGCTATATTATACCTTAAGGTGTTTGTATATAGTGATTATTTTTTCCTCCGTGTCGCTGCAGGACGCCCTCTATGAGTTGCATGATGCAAGTGGTGATGCCCAAATCTTCATAGGTGAGAGATACATGGAGGGCGCATATGTCAAGTTCAACAATAATGGTGGGTCTGTGAACAAGGAAGATCACCGCCACCACTGTGACTTGGATGAATCTAGTTCTGCACAGCCGTTTCCGGTAGCTGAGAGGCTGAAAGAGATTTGGACATTGTCGAGAATTCCCGAGTTGAGGTGAGATAGCACAAGCCTTCAGTCACTTCTCTTTTGATGAATCGCACAAAGAGCTATTGGTGGTTGATCTTCAAGGAGTGCCCGCCACGACGCAAGATGGACAGCATAAACTGTATTTGACAGACCCGCAGGCAGGATGGGCAAAGGGAAGTTGAAGTCAAACATGCAGTGCAGGAAATGCTTGTTTCCTGAAAACTTGATTGCTCTCGTAGGTGCACTGCCGATACGGGAATTACGAATCATTTGGAGAAGGGGATCTGAAGGCAGAAGGTGTCAAGAAGTTCTTTCAGACTCATTCGTGCAATGGCATTTGCAAGAAGTTGAATCTGAGACAGCTCTGTGAATACAATGAAGTCCCACCCAGAGCTGTGGTCACCTTCCCTGGCCTCTCGACGGACTTCTTGAGGGAGCTCACTAAGGGGACCTTGCAGAGAGTCCGAAAGCAATTCGGGCTCACAGAGGCTTGGCAGGATCAAGAGGTTTTCGATTTTCTGAGTGTTTTTATGTTTTTGATGGCCTGTGCGATTTTTGCGCGCCTACCCAGCACGACCCGTGCATTGGTGCATCAATTCCAAGAAAGAATCTACTCGTCTACCGACTCTACCTTAGCAAAGATTTTCCTCGTTGGTGCTCAGTGTAACTTGCGCAGATCGTCTCGAGGAAGTGGTGTTTCCGAACGAAGTTATTGGCCCACAGCTTGAAGTAAAACTATGGGGCCGTTGGAGGCAAACATCCCTGGCCAAAGAAGCAACTCGGAATCGGAAACAGGTGACACCCAGTGAGGCACAGTGGCATCCCTTTTAAAGGTGAGAACTGCTTGATTCTTGGTGCTTGAACTTGGCCGAACATGAATACCGCAGCCGTGTTGTTGTTGACTCTTTAACCTTGATGTATAGCCAGACTTGCAAGAGGTGTTTGGCGTGTTCCAGGTTCAATTTGCTCAGGCCATTGAGCGTTCAGTGAAAGACCTTCTCGACAAGCACTGCGCATGGTTGCCCTTGCATCCTGACCAGGTGACACATGCGTTGCTGGTTGTTGTGCTTTGCGCCACTGTTAGTGTAGCTGAGAATGTTGTGCGGGCCAATTTGGTACCCTCTAGGCAGATGACTTTATATATTTTTTTTTGCTTGTTTTTTTTGCTTCCTTCTGGTGGAGTCCGCATTCAGAAATTCACTCGGCAAGCTGGAACTCAAGTCAACTCCTTTTGACATCCGGAGGGCCGACACATGATCACCTCTGACTGAACTGGTAGCGAGGCTTGGGACAAGGTGACCTGCCACGTGGGGTGCTTGACGGGAGTCCAGGTCTTCCCATGGCCGATGGGCGCTTGGGTGGCACCAGTCAGCAGGGTTTTGAGGTGAAATAGGAAGACCATTGCTATTAGGTTGGAGGCCATTAGGTTGAGTTGTCGCCCCGCTCTGGCGGATGTTGAAGGACGTAGCGGCGTAGCGATGAGTAGCCAGTGCCGAAAGCCTTTCGAGGCCGACAGCCTAGCCATTGCTTGGTCTATCCGCCAACTGCTGCCTCTGCTATATCAGCTGCCTTGGAGAGGAAATGCTGAAGTCTACTGATTCAGATTGCCATAGATTTGATGCCACTGACACTGTCCGTCTAGATTTGATTTTTGCCAGAGTCGGTCGGATGTGTTCCGTCCTGATTCAATGCACGACCAGCCAGCCGGCCCAAAAAATCCTTTTGTCACTTTTGTCATTACTTGTCCCATATGTTGAGCTTGCTGTGTTGCAACGTTGCATCGCAAGCACAACAATGATCACCAAACCTGTGTCCATTGTCTAACTGGATGCAGGCCATGGGACCGACTACTGAGCAAGACGCCTAGCATGCGCATTCATTGTAACTACAGAGCCATGCTTAGATCAGCTGATCTCAGGCCCGTTTACAGGAATGATTCTGGACTGCGACAGGACTGGTGGGTCCTTTTCCATGCCGGGTTATTGTCCTGCACATCTAACAGCAGTCTTGTGAGGAATGAGCTTGTGCCCAAGCCCGCAGTGATCTTGACGCCGGCCCCAGAAAGGCCGCGATGAGCATCCCTTTCACCCTTTCACTTGTATATAATTTGTGTTGTGCCCAGCAGCCCAGCAGGAACGGAAAACAGAGCATCAAAAGGCAGGTCACAATTTGTAGAGATCAAGCAGCAAGAAAAAATAAAGGAACCTTATTGAACTCATGAAACGGATATACCGGACATTTTTCTAATATATGGGAGTTGATCGAAAACCCCGTGTAAGGAGTTTTATATAAAACAGCCTTTCAGATGTTGTTAGAACTATCCGCGAAAGATTCGCGATGAGGTTCGCGAAAGTATCTTTTTTTTCCGCGAAAGATTTATCGAAGGTCATCGCTTTCATTCTTTTCCTTTCTACCGGACTGACAAAGAATAGAAACGCAAGGCAATCCTCCGGCAGAGCCAGTGGGCGGAAGTGTCCCCATATGTCACAGACTAACGAACTGAAGCCTCAACATTTCCGTGCCCGGGGAAAGCGCCAGTGAAATTTCGCGAAAGATCCGCGAAAGTTTCGCGAATGTGCCGCTAAAGTCTAGGTTCCCAGCTTGAGGCCCCCAACATTCCCCAAGCTGCATCACCCTGTGTTGGTAGCTGACACGAGGATTGGGTTGAGTTGTGCCTGACTCTATTTGGCAATTGTCGCACAGATGCTGCAAGTGACCCTGAGTAGCTGTGGAAACGTTCAACCATCTACTGGGGTCACGCTGCAAGATGTCTCTCCCTATTTTGTGATGCTATGACATGTTCCGGCTCATGTTAGCTAGACATGGTTGTAGGACCATGCTTCGCGATGAGGCCGCGAAAGATCCGCGAAAGATATCTTTTTTCCGCGATGAATGGCCATTCCAGGATGAAAGAATATTGATCAACCACCATATATTAATACTCTAAAATATATATCTTAATCTTAATATTTTATATATATATATATATATCTATTTATAGACTCTAAGTGTGACACCCTTTTAGGACATTCTTGTGGACTTGTGGAACTCTCCTGTGTGACACTCTTACTTCTGTATATAGTCTTACTTCACCAGCGATGAAACATACCCTCCCTCAAGTGGTTCAACCGGGTTGGGTGCACGTGTCTGAATGTCACACTTTGCCAGCGGGGTTTGTGTTTGGTTGGCGCAAGGCGCGGCAAGCAGGTACGCTTTCGTCTCCATTTGAGCGTTTCGTATGAGATTTCCTCAAAAAATGAGACAGGGAAGTCTCCAAAGGGAGCATTTTGCTCGAGATTTCCTGCAAAAGTGAGGGCGGGAAGGCTTCAACACTATATAATTGTTTTATTCGAGACTTTCTCATAACGGTGAGATGGGATGTATCGCAAAAGGGATTTCGCAACCCAAGCTCCTCCGAAGACATCCGTTTAAAAAGGTCTTCATGGGACAGCGACAAGCTGCACCAACCTCACGAGTCCCGGCGCCTGCCACCAAAATTGATACTATAGCGGAACACAGAATAATCATGCAAATGTGCTGGTGCACTTTGTGCTCCACCGTGCGGCTCCAACCTGCTTAAAGATAACAAAAGTATTCCACACCGTGGAACGGCTGCGCAGCAGCCAGGCTCTGCAGCAAGAACCGTTGTGCGGACATGACGAACTAATGAACCCCTTGGAATCATTTTGATGCTTTGCGGCCTTGCACGCACCCATAAAACGCACATTTGTTTGAAACATGTGACTGCAACACAGCTTCGCAGCAAACCTTCAAACAACAAATCCCAGTGGCACACCTCCAAACACCACCACGCCAATGGGAGGGCCGCAGACCCATACACATCACATTCCGCAAAATTGAGCACACTTGCGGAGGGTTGTGGACCCGCATCGTTGTGAACGCGCAAACACCCAAAACGTCAAGAAAGTTGCGCAGTCGGGACACACGGACACACGGCACCAATCAAAGCTGACTCACATTGAATTGTTGGGGGCCAGGAGTGCTCGCCGATCGAATTCCAGATGTTCAGAGGGGCAGAGGCCACAAGTGTTCCATCGCAACGATGTGGCCTGTTCTCAGCGATTGAGACAGTTGAAAATTGGAAATGCTACATGCACCTTTAGTCGGCTCATGTGCGGTTGGGCATGCTTGAGACGTGCCCCGCATGCCAGGCAACGAATTGTGACTCTGAGGGAATCGCAGAGGTCCAATGATAAGACCAAGTGCAAAACTTTGCGCAAGAAGAGGAAGCTCATACGGCGCCGGCGCTCATCCTCGAGAACCAGCTCTGCCGCAGCCGTCAGAAAGAGACCCAAAAAGATAGCGCCTTTTTGGGCTTGAATGTGCCAAGATGTCTTCATGCCCCGTGCTATTATAGTTTTCTTTTAAATAAAACCCTTTTGGGTCATACGCAGCCTTGTTGACATGATGAATGTTGTGGGCTCCAGCACCGCGCTCACCTTATCCTCTCTGAAATCTCATGCGTGTTGATGCAAACCTTACAACGCTTTTCATACGTTTTCATCATTGGATGTTGGATTGGTGAGGCAGCGAGCTTCGTTTGCACAAAGTTTGTTTGAGTGACTGAGCAACACATTGCCAATTGATGTCAATTGTCACCCTTCTAATGGATTGCATCAGTAGTCCTGGAAGCTGAACACTGACGGACCTGGATTTTGTTGGTTCAGTCTATCAGCAAATGCAGCCCCGGTCCAAGCTTAAACCTTGAACTTGAGGACGGGGACGCAAAGTGAGATTTGTCAAGAAGGAGAATTGGCGAAGTCCTCCGAGCTTCTGCAACGGGTGCCTCCAATTCTGCAGTCAGCACTGTTGGAGTTCAAACAGCCTCCGAAAGAGCTGAGACCACAAGAAGGTGGACCACCAGAAACTTGCCTGAGTGTCGAAGATCCTGGAAGAAATGATTTTCGGTTGGTCCAGTGTGGCCTGGAAGAACGATCCGGGCTGATTCAGCCTTTTTGGAGTCACGGCATTTAGGTTTGCAAACTCAGGACTTTATCGAGGTGGCAGTGGCTCTGAAGGGCTTTTACGGAGCCGAGTCTCGGATCATTGTATTTTGTGAGCAACGGCATGATCCCGTGATGTCCCTTGAAACATCTTGAAACGTTGTCCAATTCTTCGATTCTTGAGGATTCTGGTGAAGTCCGATCATACAAGCATGTTCCCGCCGTTGCAGCCAAGGATTTGCACAATGAACAGTGGGAGGCTGACATCATCATTATGCTCTCGTGGTATGATCCCCGTGTGGCTGGCCTTGTTCCAAAGGAGAGAAGTTGGCACTTGGGCCGACGTGGAGTGTGCTGGAGAGGGGAAGTGAATCGGTCCAGTCCGTAACTCACAATGTTGTTCACAAGAGTCAGTAACGTATTTTGGCTGATCATGCCGCGTCCCCTCTTCAGGATGAAACAGTACGCACCCTCTCCGAAGAACAAGCAGGTGACATGATGTGGACACCTGCGCCCTGGCTCGATTGCATCGTCGTATGGGGTGTTTGTTCAGATTTCGAACATCTATACTCTATACGACAAAACGCCGAGGAGTTCTTCTCAAGTTCTGTCCTTTAGACTGTTGGCCGCTTTCGGAACATCTTGGAGTTCCCAAAGTGCTGGGTTTGGTGATGCCCAGTCCCGCCATGCTTAGGACATCGTCGTGACAAACACAGAGCTTCATGGAGATCGTGTTGTTGCAACCAGCTTCCAGGTCTCAATTGATGGCGTGGTAAACAAGACGCAACGCATGCTGGTGAAGATCAAGGATCGTACTGGATTGAGATGGTATGAGTACGGAGTACACATGATGATAATTGTACTGCTTGCCGGGTGATACAGTTGGGGTCAGGTCAAAATCCGAGCTTCTTTTTGGAGGGGTCGGGCTGCCATCCATTGGAGTCTTTGGAATCGCTTGTGAGCATCGACGACCTTGATAGGATCCTTGATGTAGCCGCTATAGCCCTTTTCAACGCTTTTGAGTGCTGATGTTGATGCGAAAATAAGTTTGGACTACCCTTTGTGGTGCAAGTTCGGCCGGCAGGAAGACTTTAATGGCAAGGAGTTCCCTTACGATAGCCAGGCCGCAAGCGCAGCCTGCGGTAGAAGCCTTTGGCACGGAGTTTTCTGCCGGTGCTACGTGAACAAAGGGTTGTTATGATAAGTAGTTTGGTACTTCTCCGGTCCGAGCTGCAGCTTAAAGGCGTTTTGGTGTGTTCAATGCTGCCATGCAAATCATGCAATCTTCATCCTTAAGTAGGACGATCATTTTTACAGCCTCAGGCGCTGCACGTTCTTCTAGCTTCAGCCTCATACATGATCGACGACGTGCAGCTGGTACCAATGGCTTTTGTCAACATCTCCGATCCAGGCGAACGAGCCTTTGACAAGTCTGACTGGACCTTCTTGTCCCATGAGATGACGATCTTCAACGAGAGCACTGGATCCATGCACAAGAGTCGCGCGCAGTTTGTGGTGCACGTTCTTCGAGATGCGTCTCCCTATGTTCAAAGCACCATATTCCCAGAGATAATGATTGTCGTTCTCTCGTACACGGCATCTTTCTCGAATTTATGAAGGGACGTGGCTTTCTGGGATTATTGTTTAGTTGGTTGACAGTTCCAACAACTTTCAGATGTCACGTTGACTTGTGCGAACTCAGGTTTTTCTTTTTCCTGTGAACCCTGGCTTTGCTATGCCTCGAGTATCCTCTGTTCCTTCCTGAGTTATTGAGTTGAGGCAAACACTAAGAGCAGCTCCTCTAAAGCTGAGTTTGGACTTAAAGCCCAGTCTTCTTGTCAAAGTTTGACCAGCTGGTTGTTTGGTGGTAGTGAGTCGCTCACGGAGGCTGTGATTGCATTCTTGTCAATCTTGACCATCAGCACCAGAACTTCGGCTATGCTTCCGGAAGTGCGACGAGGCCGAAGCCTTAAGCTTTCTAGTAACTAGAAGCTTCCTTGGGAATCGTTTCACTGGGAATCGTTTCACCTGTAGTAACAAGAAGCGTTTTTGTATGTGGTTGAAGCTTCTTAGTAACAAAAAAGCTTTCTAGTAACTAGTAACTATAGAAGCTACTATGTGGAGGCCATCGCTATTAGGTTGGAGGCCAGTACTAATAGCAACAATAAAGCTTTCCAGTAGTCAAGTCCTGTGGACGGACCCCTGCCCCTGCCCCTTGAAAAGGCAGGGATCATACAATCATTTATCGACGGACCCCTGGGTCAACGCAGCGCTAGCAGGGTCGTAGTAGAGTCATAACCACTGCCACAGCAGTCAAATTGAAGTTCAATCAGCTGCCATTGATCTTCAGGCCTTGTGTGGATGGAACTCTTCGAAGTGGTTTGCAAGATGCTGCTCTTTACAGTGATTTTGCTCAACATCCTCATCGAGATGGTATTTCACACGTGGCCACTCAAGCTGAGCATTTTGCATACGTATAAGAACACACATCCAGGCAGAATGACCACTATACGTTTTCCTGACGATGGCTGTGTGGTAAGATGATCTAAGATTTTTGGCCTCAAGGCAGCAGCCTGAGCTTGCCAAGCAGTTAGTTCATGAGCTCCGGGCGGCTTGGATACAACGTGAGTGTGCGACCGGGAGACTGGAGCCACATGAGTTTCGTCCCCCAAGAACCCGTAGCAACGTAGGCAGATGGACCTGCCAATGTAACCCATTTTGACAAGTAGAGCATAGCAGAGTTACTTCGCAACTTTAGTTTACTAGGATCTTACATCTTACTCCCTTACTTAGTTAAGTAGTTGCCTACTAAATTAAGTAGGAGCGGGCTAAAAACAAGGCAGAAACACAAAGTTACTGAGCAGAGCACTGCAGAGTTACTTAGCAAGCTTCCGAAGTGCGAATTGGAGGAGTGGTCTGTGTCAATGTGGCTTTTGCCAGCCCTTTTGAACACCCGCCAATATATACTTAATTATATATCTGTATATTATAGTTATGTATATACATATGTATATATATATATAGTAGTAGGCGCCTATGTAATTAAGGGAGAAAGCTACTAGCTACTAAAGCTTTCTAGTAACGGTGGGAAAGGTAGTCCAACGAAGCGGAGATCCAAGACGGGCCCCCCACCGTTGCTGGCGAGTGCTGGTACGCTGTTCCATGCAAAAACTGAACTGTGGATGGCGAAACACAGTGGCAAGCCTGTTTTGGACACTTCAACCTGATTGATTCAACCAGTAGTGCGTGCCGGAACTACCTCGTGTAACAGGCCATGATTCTTGAAAAGTTACGCCTGTAGCATTTTTTTTCTGCTGCTGATTGCTTGCAGGGTTTGGAAGGTGATGGACGCGTGATGACGCGTGTTGAGCGGTATCATTTCTAGGGGTATTTCGTGAGGATCAGTATTGTGACCTCAGTTTTCTTTAAGAACAAACATCACCTCAGTCTGGGAAGCTTTGTTGCACCATACGTGGCCCACCAGAGGTTGCGAATGCCACACAGCCTAAAACAGATTCACGGCACATTTGCGCACGTCAAAGTCAAAGTCGTTCTTTTTCCCGGAGTTTCATCAGACCGTCAGACCGCTGCACTGAGTTGGGGTTCCCCTTGATTGCTGGCCTTTCGATGGCTGTGTGCTGGCTGGCCACTGGAAAGCGCCTAGAGCTCTTTTGCAACTCGGTACGGTTCAGCCTGCTTCTGGTCACGACCCTTGGGCTGCGATTCATGCTCCAACCACAAGCACCTCATAGTGGCTCTATGTTTGCTTTTGACTCAATTGCTTAAAGATTGAGCTTAAACTGTATAGCTTGGAAGGCCTGGGTAGTATATAATAGCACTACGCCGCTACGCCCATTTGCATTCGACTGTTCGATTGTTACAATCCAGCAATACTTGGTTGATTTTGTTTACATTTACAGCTCATTTGAAAATGAAACCTTTAGGGTGTCCTTTTAAATTGCGTCAGACGATTGCTTTCTCTAAGGATCCTTTTCATCATGACCGTTTTGCGCCGGAGCAGGATCTATGCGCAAATGCAGAAATGAGTCCAAAGTATGTTGAAGCGTTTCCAATGGCAAGCCTCCCACTGGAATGCAATTGCGTTTCAGAGCCCTTTGCAGAAAATAGCGCAGTAGAACACCGCCATTGATACTCATTCGCTGGTCGACAGACTTAAGGGGTTAATCTGAGCAATGACTCGTGGCTTGACTGACTTGGGTGTGGTTTTGAGACGCAGCTTTAAGATACCCTAGCTAGAAGATGCCAGAAGTTGCCAGGCGAAGACGAACGCACTAACTATATATATATACAATTATACATATGGATTGTCATATTGACATATTGATTTGTTTTGATCATTGTAGGTAGCAAGATGTAGCAGGCATCAACGACAGGTGCACGCAGTGCTGGAGAGGAAGAGATGAATCTTGATGTGACATGGCAATGGTATTAAAATGTAGTGAACGATGCATGGCACAAACTGTCATATTTTCTTTGACGTGGATGGCCGATGCGGTTGATGAGTCGAGCTCCAGCGATGAGACACAGGATGGGGCAGTGGGACGTGATTGGATGGGCATTGTCATTGAAGATGTTGAAGATTTACTTAAAGAACAGACAGTTAGATCATTTCAGATCTGCCACAGCTCGGCTTTTGGCTTACCGTACTCAGGCAAAACGTCCCCGCTTGAGTTTGCCGCCATGCGTCACCCTGGCCATGTATTGACAGCTAGAGGACTGTTGGGGTAGTAGTCAAGCACACTGAAACAATTCCAGGTGGTGGAGCTCTTTGGAGATGCTGCGAGTAGTTTTTGCCTCAAATTTGGCTGATCCCGTGTTGGTCCGTTACCACTGCCATCGAACAGATTGTGCTGCATGATTCTTTTTTTGAGATTGATGCTCAATGTATCATATGATGCGAGGAAGCACGCCTAGGATTGTTAGAGGCTGGTAGGGGAAGTGACTTCACCTCTGTTCAGTGAGTTTGGCTCAAGAGATCTCAAGAGTGTCACCTGGAATCTAGAAGAAGCTCACAGAGAAGGAGGCGGGGTGTGATGCAAAGGTTTGCACTGCTTTGATGGATTCTTGGGAGCTTGTACTTCCTCCCACGGAAAGGCTATTCGGAGAGTCTGTTTGTAGCAATCTCTTTCTCAGAGGTAGTGTGGACCTGTCCAGGAACAACACCCCGGAGATGCGAGCGGATGTGAGCTGCACGGATCCTGATGTTTACAGGACCACCAAGGGAAAGTGAAGAGTCTTGACATGAAGGGCTGTTGTTCATCATCATGCAGCAATGCAGCAGGCAAGCCACAGGGAGCTCAGCCTCTGGGCTGATTTTGCATTTACGTGAGGCTTAGTATCAAGGCGGAATATGTCCGTACAGATCCGTACAGGTTTTCACGAAAGATAGCCTCAGCTAATGATATTAATTAGGGGTGATTTCCATGGTTTTAGTAAGGATTCTAAATGTCGGGGGCCTCCCCCTTCGACTCCACCCTGCGCCGCTCAGAATGTGGGAGTGATTTGGCTTACGACTGTGGTCTATTGCAATCTGTAGTCTATTGCTGCTGCTGCTGCTTGCTGCTTGCTGCTTGCTGTACTGCTTGTTGCTGTGCTGCTTGTTGCTCGTTGCTTGCTGCTGTTGCTGGTGCTGCTTGCTTGCTGCTGGTTGCTGCTATTGCTGCTGCTCGTGGCCGCTGGTTGCTGCTGCTGCTGTTGTTGTTGCTACTGCTGCTGCTCGTTGCCGCTGGTTGCTGCTGCTGTTGTTGCTGCTGCTGCTGGTTGCTGGTTGCTGGTGTTGCTGCTGTTGCTGCTG